TAATATATTTTAAATATTTAAATGTTAATTATAGCAATATTTTAATATTTAATAGGAATTTTATTGTGATTAGACTGACAAGATTTAAACAAATATATATTTATCACAATATGACGCAACTTTATCATCTCTAAATTTCTAGTTAACCTATCCTTACGATGTAACATTTACAGATTGGAGGTTTAGGTCCACTGCCATATTAATCACGTGACGATTGTTCCCAGGAATAACGGAAATTCCCTCATGAATTTCAAACGCCTCCGCTGTTTGACGATGCCTCAAATAACGTCAGGCATGTTGCCAGTTGTATTTTTATTTTCGAACACTGACGATGTATTCTGCCTTTAGCCATACGGGTGTGCACTTTGACAGCTGTAACATTGTAACCTCACGCTTCGACGAATGGAGCTCAAATTATAGAGATTGTAACAGTGCTGTTATTACGTCTGAGTTGGGGCTTGCTACGTTATACGGAGTCGGCGAAGGGGATATTGAAATCGCGGGCTATATTAAATTATACTGACGTAACATGGTCCATCTTTAGGAAATCAAATACAAAACCTTTGGAGTTTTCACAAGATAAGAAATCTACACATAACATAGTAGTTCTGGCAAGTAGGACGTTACTGTTTATCAAATGTAATAAAAATTTAAATGTGTCTACAAAATTTTAGTAAAACTCTTTATTATCAAATTTAATGTAAATATATTTTGTCGTTTTCGAATTGTTAAATGCAAACAAACGGGCAGACATAGTAAAACTCTCTATTATCAAATTTAATGAAAATATATTTTGCCGTTCTCGAGTTGTTAAATGCAAACAAACGGGCAGACAGGAAGGCAGATAGACTCTACCAAGCTTTTGTCCGGGCACCACAGAATAAATAGACTGTACAGTGGATTTATTCTGTGTACCGACAGTTTTTAAAAGGACAGAGTAAAACACTCGAAAGATTATTCTGCCTTTGCATAAAGAAAAATGAACAGTTTCGAAAAACGAGTAAACGCTCGAGACGGTGATGCATCAGCCATCTTTTCACAATCGATACGACTGCACCTCGAATTGATTGTAATTTTGTTATCGGAGAAAACGCTGCCGTATTCCGATACGATGACAAATGAGGATCGTTAGAGCAAGAGAGAGATTCAATGAGGATGGGAAGCATTCCCAGAAGAGACAGGCTTACCAACTGAACTCAAATTATTATATCAATATTTAGAATCTATGACGAGCTTGCAACGTTGCTGATTTCATACCTAGAAGTCCTTAGTTCGTAACCTAGTGATTTAATATCTGGCAGTCCTCTGTTCGATGCTAAGGATAAATATAAGGGGAAAAAAGGTTTGGGCACGTAAGTGACAGATGAAACAGGCTTGTCTTCGCCTAGAATTGTGAACCTCTGTTTTTCTGGACATGCATAATGTGCTAATGTAGAACAGTGTATATAGCCTATTAGTTATGTAACCTCTTCTGTGTGACGCTGAAACCTTGACAATGGAGGTCAAATGAAAATACAGAAATTTACTAGAATAAATTTTTAAAATGGACTGCATACAATTGAAGTAAGTACAAGATACAATGCACGGACAAAGACGAAAGCAGAATTGACCAATATTTTAAACCAGAGAAATAAACTCGGTATACCATCGTACAGACAGGAGGATAATATTAAAACGGAACTTAGGGACGTACGTTGGGGTGGAATGGATTCATCTGGATAGGAACCGGTGCAGATCCCTTGTGTACTTCGACGCGAAGCGGCCATATTACCCTGCAAGCTGATAATCATTTCAAAATGTGGCGACACTGCTGGCTTTTGAGACCGGATTTAAATATACCACGGATTTGTAGTCACAGGCATGACAACATGAAGTTTTGATGTCAAGTCAGTATTAATCTGACATAACTAAAATCACAAGTTCTTTGTTCTGCAATTTAAATATAAAAGTGAAACAAAAATTAACGTTTCAATCCAGATTTATAGGAAAATTAGGCAGGAAAAATATCACTGCGACTGTAACGAGCTACCAACATCATGAGCGAAATCACGTAGAATCCCACTAGGTCACAGATACCAGAAAAATTTAAAGATGCTCACATCTGCCTGAAATCCCCCCAAGACTTGCCCGTCGAACTGAATTATTAAGTGTTATTTTGAAGACCTTCGGCTTATAAGGGTTAATACAGTAAATATAAATAATTCCAATGCTGAAAAATTGAATGTGTTTTACGTTGGTTGAGTGATACCTTTCCTGTTCGACTAGGAAACTGTAAATTAAGTATCGATATGGCAGTGGAACTACCTTAGGGACACTCGAGATTGACTAATGATGTAGCTAGTTTGAGAAACGAGTGGTATTATTATTTATTTATTTAGTGTTCTGTCTGACGACAGGTCCATATGAACAGGATCCTTCCATCCTTTTCTCGGACTGGGACCTGTTCATATACGTTCTTGGCAGATGATCCAGAAGTGGTTTACCATTGCCTTCTTCTGGTGTGTGAATGAGTAATTGTTGGGATGCCACGGAGGAAAACTCCGTGTTGCCTAGACCACGGCCTTGCCCAACACAAGTTATAAATTCGGGCACCGCCGGGAATCGAACCCGAGACCCCAGGATTACAAGGCCATCGTTCTAACCGCTAGACCACCGTGGCTATGACCAAACAAGTAGTAGGGGCCAAAAATTGAAAACTATGAGAAACTCAACTGCGTGATATGGATTCATCCGTCACAGGTTACACCCGGAAACTAGAGTACATAAAGAGAATTTATTAACAATCATAATGTGTTGCACGAAAAAATGCAAGAATTATCAGTTTAAGTAGTTCTCAAACTAAGCACTTGTATAATAACTCTGTAGTGCATATTATAGCCACGGTGGTCTAGCGGTTAGAACGCTGGCCTTGTAATCCTGAGCGTCTCGGGTTCGATTCCCGGCGGTGCCCGAATTTATAACTTGTGTTGGGCAAGGCCGTGGTCTAGGCAACACGGAGATTTCCTCCGGGGGCTTCCCCAGTTTCTCCGTGGCATCCCAACAATTACCCCATTCACACACAGAAGAAGGCAATGCCAAACCACTTCTGGATCATCTGCCAAGAACGTATATGAACAGGTCCCAGTCCGAGAAAAGGATGGAAGGATCCTGTTCATATGGACCAGTCGTCAGACAGAGCACTAAATAAAATAAATAAGTGCATATTATTTTGAACAGTTATAATTTCTTTAAGGCTAGAATTAGATTAAATAATAAGTAAATTAAATGATAATTAACAGGCAAAGAATATCTTCATGTAACCAGAACATTCAGCACATTAAAGATCATTGAGTAATGCGAAGTTGAAATTTGACTTCCTGTAAAATTACACGCTTTTGTGAACAAGACGATAAAAGTTATGTTTCTATAAACGCACATTATTTCTTGACGAGATCTTTTAAAAACATATTATATTTTACGGATTTATTGTGACAGGGAACTAGGTAGGTATGTAAGCTTACATCATTTGTTATGTAATTAATTTACATCGTAATTTCATTGGATTGAAAATTCTCAGACGTGAAGTTAATGAACTTCAGAAGACGATGTAGTTGGTTGGTTTACAAAGGTACTTTGCCTTGTCATCAGCTTTGGGAATTCAGACAGCCAAGCGGTATGTGGTGATACAGTTT